GCGGTTTGACCGACCTAGGACAAACATGTACCTATACACAGTATACATATAGGTACATAGAAAGGATTCGGTGACCCTTCACCCAAAAAGTGCTCAACGCACCTAAAGAAGTTTTCACTTCAAAAACATTTTTTAATACTTGGTGATTTATGGTCATGACTTTAGATAAAACGTATTAAACATACTCATGTTTATAATTCGTAACCTTTTAGTATCTGAAAATTCTCAGAAAAGTCAGAAATTTTCCGGAATATTAAGAAAACTTGCTGGTAAGAAGATTTGCTTCATAAAAATAGAAATATTAATAAGTTTTTTTATAAAATTTTCATGACTAGGATACAGAATCCTTCAGTCGGAATATTAAATTAATTGAAGTGAATGTGAAAGCCCGGTGCTACCATTTTATATGCTACATATATTGTGCAATATAATAAAATACTATATACATTTTTTTATTTGACATAAAATAATATCCCTCATAATCGCAAGACCTGGTAAACAAGGTGGTACACGTACATGATTAGCGCCGGTCATTGCTACCTCACTCATTACGAGACACGATGATCGGCATAAAGCTTGTTATACAAGCCACTCGAAAGATTGTACTACGGCACTTAACAAAAACTCTGTGACAGGTGCAGCTAAAAAGCCCAAATAAAAGTCCCAATATTTTGTGATAATTTTCCTACTAGTTTTGAAATTTATGCTAACTACTGAAATTACTGTTACCCTGCACTTGTAAATACTGTTGAAAATTCATCCTGTGGTGGTCAATTATTTTGAGACGACGCGCGCTTAACATTGTAATACCGTAAGCGCGTTTTATAGTAAAACGAATTGTTGACATAACTTTATATTCGAAAATAACCATAAGGGCGACAATGTGCCTGCGTTAGGTACATATATCTACATAATTACTTAGATATTGCTGAATGATCATTTACTTTCGGGTAATGCTCATGTCAGTTATCTTAAAAAATATTTCTATTCAAGGCAATAAACCAAAATTTTATTTACAAATAAGTACCTTTTCAATTAATAGTAAAATTATTATGTTCATGGATCGGTTTATAACGTTCCTATTGATTAAAAAGAAACAACTTACATTATATACGCCATCTATCGAAGAGTTGGAATATCTAAATTACAATTAGATGGCGCTGTAATCATTTTAAATTGTTTACAAATTGAATTCCAACTTATTAAGATATTTTTTGGTTTTTAATTGTTGGCAGTACAATATAAGGCCCAGGTATCCCCCTCTCTGTAGTACTAGGCTTCTAGGAGAGTTTGGGTTTGCGCCAGATGGGAGTCCAATCATGGTATTGCATCAACACTAAAATAAATTTAGAACCCGGCGTCACAGTATGGCTATATATTTTATTTTTTTGAATAACACCGCAAGGTTATTTGAAAATTGTAGAATAAGTTTATTTCTGAAAATATATTACAATTTCGTAGAAAAGAACATTCCCCAATGGGTAAAATACTCCAGAATGACGAACACCGTTCCAGAAGAATACTCCAGAAATACGTCAAGAAATTCATAGGAAAAAAACATACATAATATAACTCATTAATCTCCTTCAAATATAAATTTTGTTTCTGTAGAGTATTATAACTTTCACGGGTGGCTGGTAAAACAGGTAAGTGTACTCGAAATATTCTCATTGAATCAACGTCGAATGCTAATCATTTGACTAATTGTATTGCGCACTGTGTTGTGTTTGTACGTAACTACCGCAGTGCCTTTTACAGTAACATTCTTGCAGCGTACGACTGCCTACCTCGAGTATATTTCTAACCAAACAAATCCTAATAAGGTTATAACTACTAAAAGTAGATTATGTGGGTGTTGATGACCGTCTTCTGTCTAGTGACAACGATAGTGGAACTAAGACCGTTACTAAGTTATAGTTAAGTGCGATATTGCGATTACGATAAAGATTTGCATTCAAAGCAGCAACCTCTTTAAAGAAATTATCAATGAAAAGGCTTACAGATAATCTGAGTAAATGAACACAAGGTGTGATTGAGTTTATAATGACTGAGACTATGAGAGAAACTATACCACCTTGCGGCACAGCCAATAACCAGTATTTTACATTTGACCGTACATATTGCAAACACCACCGAGCAACGACATTTAAGAGATATACAGGGAGGCTTTTCTTAGTGTATCCATATTAAATTCTAGACATAAATAATGTTATATAAAAAATGGTAAATGTTTAAAATCAGTCGTAATTAATTAATTACATTCATTTGAACTTATCTCAAAAAGTGTGTAATTTATGGGCAACTCATTTATTATACGCGCGATCATTCATAACTAACACGCATACAAGTTCGTTTCAAAAGTACACGACGTATTTATGAATGACTACCGCATTGTCAACAGTTCTGGTTTTTAGGGAATAGAATGGCAATTTTTTGAAAAAAAGAAAGGTTGGTTTTTAATTCAATAAACGATTATACTACCAGTCTGAATCTCCTGTGTGAATTTGGGCGCCTTTAGAAAAGCCACCCTGTATAACCTTTATTATAAGAACTATTGCTTGATTGCCATCTCACTTGATAGTGACAATGAAGGCGGAATTGGTAAACGCACTAGGTCGTTAGAAGCCTATTCAGATATTCGGTCGGACAGAAACAAAATTGTTTATTTCCTTTATAGTGCGTGTAATGAATGAATAAGCAAAGCACTTGGTTCTTGAGCGTTCGAGAGCGTCGGGGTTCAACAACAGGCAGAATTGTGCCGAGCTTCTAGTCTTACGAAGACGGAAAAAGGAGGGAGAAATTATTTGGTGTAATCCCAATGCACTATCTATAACAAAACTGTAAGACGACCGAGAGCCTGGCTACTCTGCGCTAGTACGAGTTGAGGCTGAGTAATATTGATTCTAACCGAATTATACCCTAATTTGGTTAGAACCAAGGAGGTTCCCACGCCTCTCTATTCGAATGCGAATTCCATTAATTCTATTAACCTATTTCCTCTCCTTAAATTTTCTTCAAATATAATTTAGCAACGAATTTTGTTATCTTGCATGCAAATTTGTTATCAGTTAATGTAAGTAGATTATACATGTTAAGACTTTCTTGTTTGATAAGTTAAAGATAATATGAACTCTTATACAAAAATAACAAAACTAAAATTGGAATACTGTTTAGTTTTATTTTTATCTGATTTTTATTAGTAATGAACTTAGTAAAATCAAAAATAGTAATGTTAAAATACAAATTTTGTGTGTCCTGAATTAAATTAAAGAGCCTGCACTTTTATACTTTAGCTTTGTGATGATAAGACTATTATATACTATAATATTTGAAATGTGCAAACCTTTTGTATCTTGAAATAACCTCTGATATATTGGTGATTACCAAAACTGGAAAATAATCATTTCACAGAAAAAATTTGCGTCCCTCAGTTTTGAAAAAAAAAAAATAAAGGTTTGCTCTTATGGAATCATAACTAAAGCATATACTTTACTTATGATTTCATAAGCCAAAAATAAGTTTAGAATATATATAGAAAAAATATATTTTATGAATCTGTTGGTTTAAAACCTTGAATTTACAGTTAGTACAATATTGGCTCCAAAGCTATTGTATTATGGGCTTAGTCATTGGTGATTATACAAACAGTAAAGAGATAACACTATGAATCAGTGCTCTTCATAAGCTCTGCTAAAATATGCCCACATGAATTGTCACTTGCCCGAACCTCTTATAACCATTGAAAATTATTTTTAAAATTTACTACATTTTTAAGTTAAAGAGACACTGAGCCAATCAGCTTAATATCTGGTGTACTAACATAAATCTGAGATCAATAAATTGAATTCTAGTAAAATGCACCAATTATTGAAAGAAATCCTTCAAAACAAAGATGTGCCTCAAAATATACTCACAGACCCTGTGGGTAAATTTTTGAAGCAATTTTCACTGGCAAATTATTGCATATTGTATGACTTGATATGAATGTTGAATTTGAGGATCAAACAGGATTGCCACAAGGTTTTAGCTATACTCATAAAGGTTAAAAGAGATGTAAGATCTTAATCATATATTGAATTTTTCTGAAGTATATTTATCTTTCGAAGTTGATAACTGATAAATATTTAATAGTGATAGATTTGTGTGGTGAAATAACTTATAGTCAAGTTTGAAGAATACATACATTTATTATATTCTTATACAATACAAAACAACTTGATAAAGACAGCATAATATAAATTTATAGACAACATCAACTTAAAATACTTAGCTTGAAAGCAATTTTAAAGACAGAATGGCTTCGGAACCTTTGAGGCTGCATAAAAAAATAATGCTTTTGGTCCCTTTTATCCACTAGTTTTTCATAAACATAAATGCAGGGTTTTCAATTGCTTTTAATAGAGCAAACCATTTACACATGATAGACATAAATGTTATATTAAATAAATAATTAAGTAAACATTTTTGTGCTATGAAAATAATATAAATTGTGCTTACCAACTGGCTTATTAAAAATATAAATACAATATTCTAAGCAACATCCATAAGCTTAATTTGAAGAATCCTTTCCAATGTCTTTTATGTGAAGTACCTTATATATATTAAGTTATTCAGGTCAATCTGGCCAATAAATAAGCTCTATCGGATATAGTAGTAACTTTTATACATATTATAACATTTCATCCTGTACAAATTGGCCTCATTTTTATATAACAACAATAGATTGACAAATACTATAAAGCAACACCTAGTAATACTTAATATCTCTATTTTCTAAACACATTTTGACTTTAAGCCATGTAATAAAGGTAAATTGTATAAAGTTCTTCTGAATAAGTTTTTAAGGGATAGTGTAATCTCTATGCAATAGTAATTTTGTAGACAGGTATCAAAAGCTACTGTATATGAATCAAATTTTGGAAGAAATATATAAACCCTACTTACATTGTGCAGGTAAACATGGTACAAAATATAGTTTTATTTTCATTTGTAATCAGTCAAGTTTTCGTCGAATTAGTTTCTGTAACAAAATACATTAGAAATAGGTAGATGTAGACTCCAATGACGCAATGTAATAGTTCCAAAGCTTATAAAAATTTTATCGACCGGTGGGGGGAGCTTCGGTTACTGGCGCAGGAGTTGGGGCGGGAGTTTGATTACCCGATCCGGATGTAGCCCATACAATAATAATGATAAGTAAAACCGCTCCGATAGCACCAATTATCAGCATCATTTTCAAGTTTTGCCACCAGTACTTCCTCTTGAGCTTACCGGCCTGTTGTTCAAATTGCGCAGCCCCGTGTTGCAAAGCATCTGCACGATTGTCTAGTTCAGATAGTTTTTGATCTCTTTCCAAAACTTTCTCGACATTGACACGCATTATTCCGACAACTTCATCTACTTTTGCTTGTGTTTGTGCTAAACGTTTATCGCTTACTCTAGGCGCAGATGTACCACTTTGCTCCTCCATTTTTAATAAAGTTTAAACGTTTAAGAAGAAAAAGAAATTATAATTATAATTCACAAAGCACAGAACCGTTGTCACACACGAATATAAATATGGCAATATGGCGTCATACACTTCTAAATTGACAGCCCAGTGAGCAGTATCAAATTATATAATAAGCATAGAGTTCTGAAGTGACTTTTTTATTTGTCGGCAATGATAGATAACGAATCACCGATACAACGTGCCCGGAGCACTGTATTGCTATTGCGTAAGAAATGTCACGGCTGCATACAGCAAATGAATCGCCATTGTAAAAAAGCAATATCATGTGTTCTTTATTGTCATGGAATGTAATTGTAAATTAGAATTTTTTTTTTAAACTATTTTTATTTTTCAATATAATCCTGGATTATAACTAGTCACAGAACCACAGATTTATAAAGAGAAGATTATAGACTTCTCTTCAGTCTGTGCACAGAACGGCTATGTATATATATTATATATATTTCTAAATTTATGCAGTAATATTTCTAATTTCCTGTTTCTAATTTATGCAGACGCTTATTCTTATAAAAATTGATTAAAACCACTATAACATTCTTAATAAGATAGAACACCTATCTAATTTCTTATTTTATTAAAAAGATACATAATTAGTCTTCGATAATGATCATATTACTAACTATTGACCTACCTCTTCTCCAATGGCTTACAGTTTATACAAAGGCGTAGGTCTAGAATTTTCTTTATTCTTTCCTCGATCTTAAACGAATTTCTCTATATTCTTAAAGATAAATTTAAATAAATTTCGCTAAGCATTGAATATGATCTCCGTTCCTCATCTAACGTAAAGGTTACTAATCCTTCAAATAATACCAGTTTCTTCAGTAATTCTTTCTCTGTTCAGGCTGCGCTGTTTTGGAATTCCTTGCCAGATGACGTACCTAGGACCTCTAGCAGGTCATCATTTAAACGCTTGGTCAGCGACATAAATTTAAATGACCTAGTATAATCTAAAAAAAATGTTGTCATTGATTATATTATTGTCCGAAAAAATGTCTATTGGCGCAAAAAATGTCTATTAATATTGGGAGAGTCGCATTTCACATTCGTCAGTGTTATTTGAATAACTTACGTATATCGTAAATCAATAGGGGGTCATGAAAAATAATTATGTCGGTTTTTGCTATCAAATCGTGTCATTCAAAAATCGTATAATATTACCAAGATCACTTTTCATCGGTAGGATTTGTTATTTAACCACTATTAGTTTATTTAAAAAAAAACGCAATTTTTTTATTCGTTATTTCTTAAGTTAGTATTTTACATTAAGTAACCAGACTAGACCTACGAAATAACGAATTGCAGGTGTTGTCAGTTTATTACTAGGAAGTTTTGGGGAAACTATTATCTACGAATTGGAACAATATTATTTTAAAAAATCACACTTTATTTGATTAGTAAAGGACCGTACCTACACAAAATATATATAACCCATGACGTCATTCACTGAACAGTATTTTTGTTAGTTCTTTCTTTTATTTTGGGTTTCAGATTTCCTACAGATTCCGTACTTGCAAATAGCTGGAGAGCGATTTATTTAGCGGATTTTATAAACAAATTTTGATGTATTTGTACTAATGTATTTTTTACATTGTAATTTTTGATATTATTAAAATAAATAAAACTACTAGTCTACAAAAAATTATGTTATTCAACTAATTTTGCTTAACTTTTCCACTATTAAATAACGGGGAAAACTTAATTTAATTATATATTAAACTATATAATTAAATTAAGTTTTCCCTTTTAATTAATATCATCATCATCATCATCATCATCAGCCGCAAGACGTCCACTGTTGAAATTAATATATTTATTAAATATTAAACTTAGTTTGGAGTAGGCATCCCTAAACACGCACACCTTAACAGTTTGTTTACAATACGTACACGAGTAGCACTCACGCATATCAGAAAATCGGAGACAGTTTTAGCGCGTTGTTAGATAAGCATTACTCCATCTAAACAAGTATATAATCAAAGAAGGTTGATATTATCGTTGTACCACTTGTTTGTTTGTAAATATTTATAAAAATAAAGTACTTATATAATTTTATTTTTCTAAGCTCTCAATGGTACATTGAAATATCAAGTTAATCGCAAAGCAAATGGCAACATTGATTTTAATATGCAATGCATGCACTGTAATCTGCAATCTATGGTAAAAAAGATTGTTGTAGTCTTTGGTTCAGCTACCTAATGGATACGACTTGTATCAATTAAAAACTGCGGTTTTGGTTAGATTTGATAAACAGCATATAATTTCTAAAGTATTTCTGATCAGGATTTACAGCAAATATCAAAATGGTAAGTTTCTCAAATGAAATGCATAACATTGTATTGATTTGTATATTCAGCATGTCATGCCGATCTGTTCACCGCACATGTGGACATTTTAGACTAAATTTATTAAAATACGCGCAGGTTTCACTTAATCCTATCAGAATATTGAAGAATGAGGCGGAAGAAGAAAAAGCAGAGATCGCTCGAATGTCTAGTTTCATTGGAGCTATTGCAATTGGGGATCTTGTTAAAAGTACTTTGGGTCCAAAAGGAATGGACAAGATTTTGGTATCCAGCGGCAGAAATGCCGGGCAGGTAAACAAACCTTTTGATTAACTGTATTAATTTAAAAAACGGCCAATCATCACTGTACATTTACAAATTAACATTTGCCGAAGCAAAAGTCATGATGGTGTTTTTTTTTTTTTTTTTTTTTTTTATGCGAAAAGTTGTCAAACGAGCAGACGGTTCACCTGATGTTAAGTGAATACCGTCGCCCATGGACATCTGCCACACCAGAGGGTTACAGATGCGTTGACAACCTTTTGAAAATTGGGCTCCGGCTACCTCACTCACAGACGAAACGCGAAAGTATTATACTTCCACTTTACGCTGGTCTTCTGTGAGGTCGTGGTACTTACCCGGACCGGCCTGCCCATTCGTGCAACAGCCGAGGCTGCTGCGTGGCCCTACCACCGTAAGTGGTAGGGCCACGTAGGGTGGTGTAAGTTCATAAGCAACTTAAACAAGCATCCTAACGTGAATTAATCTTTCAGGTAGAAGTTACAAATGATGGTGCTACCATATTGAAGTCAATTGGTATAGACAATCCTGCTGCTAAAATTTTAGTTGATATGTCAAAAGTACAGGATGATGAAGTTGGTGATGGAACAACTTCAGTGACAGTTTTAGGTACAACTTACTCTTTTCTTAAGAACTCCGTACCAAGATGTCAGGATTTTGTTATTTTTTGAAAAACATTGCCCCACTGTAAGATAACGTCCTGTGTTTTAAGGATATGCATGGACACTGTTAATGGATCAGAAACAATTATCTGTGGGTCACACAAATAGTTGTCTGCCAATAGCTTGGCTCCTGCGATACAGTCTTGTGTGAAAAACTTGTGATAATTTGTATCTTACAATAATTTCTGAAAACAAAAATAGTTAAACAAAAATATTATATAGCTTTGTAAGATAAATTTTACAATTATTATGGTTAACTAATTTTAGACACTTATTTTGATTTATATATTACAGCTGCTGAATTGCTTAGAGAGGCTGAGAAATTAATTGAACAGAAACTTCATCCTCAAACTATAATAGCCGGTTGGCGTATTGCTGTGGAAGCTGCAAAGCAAGCTCTAGCAGAATCGAGTTTTGATCATGAGATAAATTTAAATGAAGCTGCCTTACGTTTAGACCTTGAAAAAATTGCACGTACTACATTAAGTTCTAAAATTCTTTCCAACCATAAAGAGTAAGTCAGTACTGTTAAAAAATATGTTAAAGCACAACCATGATTTTTTTTAATTCTTACAATTTAGTATATTATATTTATGTTATTGTAAAACAAAGGTGTTAAAATAAGGCATAGAATAAAAAATAACACAAGGGTAATTATAATTACATAATTATATCAATAACTCATTGTTCTATACAATTAAAGATTTATTATATATTTAATTTATGAAATTTATATTGTTCTGTTCAAGAAAATATTATTAATACTTATATTTAAAATACATTGTGCTAAACATTCCATTCTAAATAAAATTTAAATTAAAATTGTAAAACAATTGATGTTTGTATGACAAATAACATAGTATATTAAGGTCTTGAATTATTTGAAAATTACATGTAGTTATTTACCAATACATAAATTGATAATATAAAAGTAGAATGAATTGATTTCAGACACTTCACAAAGTTAGCTGTTGATGCAGTTATTCGACTGAAAGGTTCTGGAAATCTAAAGGCTATACAGATCATGAAGATAAGTGGTGGTCTTTTAGAAGAATCTTTCCTTGATGAAGGTTTTCTATTAAACAAAAAGGTATCTTTTTAAATTTTTTAACCCTTACTATGAGAAAAGGTAAAAGCATTTATGCTAAAAAATGGATAATTGTGTATATAAGGTACATATTGTTACAGTAAAAACAATAGTTTTATTTAAATAAATCAATTTTATTATGAACATACATCAATAATTTCAAAATAAAAAGAACCTGTTTTTCTTCTCTTTTATCAAATTTTACTAGAAGAAACAACTAGATCTAGATCTTAATTTAATAAAAAAGGTAGTAAAAATACCAGGATGAAGGTTAATGCAATCCCAAGTCTGACTGAATGCAGCAGTATTCCTAAGAAACTTCAGACAGTCTCACCCTATTTTTGGCTCAAACAGAATACTTTTGTTTGAATTAAAGATTTTTTTTTCTTTTTAAAAACTGTTGCTTCTGTTGTACAATTAAACTATTTACAAATTATTTTAAGGTCGGAATACATCAACCTAAAAGGATTGAAAATGCTAATATTCTGATAGCTAATACACCTATGGACACTGATAAAATCAAAGTATTTGGGTCAGTTATAAAGGTTGATTCAATGGCCAAAATTGCAGAGTTGGAAGTTGCTGAAAAGGAAAAGATGAAGGACAAAGTAAATAAAATACTGGCCCACAAATGCAATGTGTTTATCAATAGGTCAGTTTAATATTTGAGAGAAACTTATTTAATATCAGCACTGCAATACATTGACCATGAATAACATTATTTTTAATTTTCAGGCAACTGATTTACAATTACCCGGAACAGTTGTTTGCTGACGCTGGTGTGATGGCTATTGAGCATGCAGACTTTGATGGTATTGAGCGCCTCGCTCTAGTTACTGGTGGGGAAATTGTTTCAACATTTGATACACCAGAGAAGGTTAAATTAGGTCATTGCAAGGTTATTGAACAGGTAAAGGAAAATTGGTTTTACCCAAAACAAGACAAATAATTACAGCTAAAATTTCACATATATGTCTCCACTTTTATCTCTTAGCTCTATGTTATTTAATCATGTCCCATAGGAATTTCTGTACATTTTAATTAATCACTCATTGGTGCATGCTTAGTGTAAAAAAATTCATAGAAAACTAGTGTTAAGAAGTATTACACTTTCGTGTTTTGTCTGGCGAGTGAGGTATACACTTTTTTAATTGATGGCTATCAATGTATATGCAAGTCTTCAGGTGTTGTATGCCCGGCTCACTTATAAATTTTCACATAAAAAAAATAACAAGCATGTTTACAACCACAGAAACAAAAATTATGTAAGAATTTTTTTTATATTTAACAAGGTTGTAGCATCTGAGGTTTCGTTTGTGTTCATGGACTTTGGTTGTATGTTACATCCAGGTAAACCGCTTGCTTAACTGCCATCTCTTCAAATCACCTCCACTTGATTTGTACCTTCTTTTTTTCATCTTCTCTTGAAAATGGGTCGACATTCCAATCAGAGTAGCCTTCGTTGTAATATTGAAATTATTTAACTTCATGCAGGTTTTGATCGGCGACGAGAGTTTGATCAGGTTCTCTGGCGTGGAGCTTGGGTCTGCGTGTACCGTTGTGATCCGTGGTGCCACCCAGCAAGTGATTGACGAGGCGGAGCGTTCGCTCCACGACGCCTTGTGCGTTCTCGCCGCCACTGTTAAGGAACCGAAAGTAATTTTCGGTGGAGGTGTGTTTGTGCCGCTTCTTTTGTATAAGTTAATGAATATAAAATGAAAGGCCTACAAAATGGAAAGTAATATTTATTATGAATGATATGCCATTCATATTAATTTTTGTGATTAGCAAAATCAGATTTTTTTGGAGGTTCATCTGATTTTAAGTGATAACCGTCATCGATGGACACTTGCAGCATGGTTGCAGATGCGTTTTCACGATTTAATAGCAAACTATTAAACTTATGAGGTAACTGTGACCGTTGGGTCACAGTTATAATGAGAAGATTCGTACATAAGACATACAAGTGTGACACTTCCACTTCACACCAGTCTTTTGTGAGGTTGTGTTGCTTCCACAGACGGACCTGCCCATTCGTACAACGCGTGGACTTACCACATTAAATAAATTGTAATTTATTCACTAATATACTGTTATAAAAGTAAAGTAAAATAACAGCTTGTGTATGGCCCATTGCTGGGCAAATGCCTCCTCTGTACAAAGGCATCAGGGCATAGTCCATCATGCGGCCCCACTGCAGATTGGTGGACTTCACATATTTATTAATTATTTAAATTATTAATATTGCGAAATATTTTTTATAATTATGTACATTTTTACATAATTATAAAAAAATGTGTATAGTGTACTTCAATTTTAGTTTAGTGCCAAATATAAATAATCAATGGAAGGCATATTAACGTGGTCATCACGCTTGCAGGCGCCAGCGAGATGCTTATGGCGGAGGCGGTGTCGGGCGTAGCGAGCCGCACCGCCGGCAAGGAGGCGTTGGCGGCTGAGGCGTTCGCCGTAGCGCTACGCCGGCTGCCCTCCGCCGTAGCGGACAACGCGGGCTACGACAGCGCCGATCTCATCTCGCGTCTGAGGGCCCACCACGCTCAGGGAGAGACCACCATGGGCCTTGGTGGGTGATACTGACTTCATCATTTTATATAAGGGGTCGTCCATTAATCATGTGATGTTTATTAGTTTGATGAAATGATTTATTAAATGCTTGCTTGTTTACTTGGTACATTCTTGTTGATTTTTTAATTTTGCGAATTTCTATTGATCATATCATATAATGTGATCTAATTATGTATTTAGAAGCGACACACTCTGTAAGTTCTAATTTTAACCGATTATGGTGCGGTTTTTTGTGTTTGATGAAGACTTGACAGTAAATGATAAAAAAGTTCTTTTGCTACAAAATCTTTATGTACGAAAATAATGTAAGTAGTCGGTAGTCTGTTACAATTTTAAAACCAAGAAGTCGTCTGTCTGCCCCATATAATGTTGCTTCGGTTGTTTACAGTGAACACATTCCATTTTCCACATGGTTTAGAGACATAATTCGAGCTTTTTTTTGAGTCAGGTGGTTATTTCAAATGTGTAATTTTATATTACGACAGACATGGAGAACGGCTGCGTGGGCGACATGTCGAAGCTGGGAATTACCGAGTCGTACGTGGTGAAGCGTCAGATGCTCCTGTCTGCCTCTGAGGCGGCGGAGATGATTCTGCGCGTTGACAACATCCTCAAAGCGGCACCACGTCGCCGCGGACCGGATCGCCGCCCCTGCTAACTCATCACCGCGAACTTCATCTTTATGATCGGAAGTTCTCATGACCACTGTAATGCAAATAATAAAGTTCTCGATATACCGTCATCACTGCATTAGTGCGGCGTTAAATCTAATAAAGTCCATAAAAATATCGGTAATGATGTCGGTAATTAATTTATCTGCTACTGACGAAGCTCTTGTGTCGTAATTGTTTTGTGGTGTGATCGCTTCCGATTGTTTTTATGTAAAAGTTTTATTTCGCTTACGAACCCATTTTTCACAAATAGCTTTTATTTTATTTTAGTTAACGCGGTGCGAATCCGTGTTTGCATTTAACATCTTTCCGTTGGCGGGAGTTATTTAACGTTAGCGTGTTAATTATTTCACTCGTATTTAGTTGCACAAATGTGTCGTTTAATTTTATTGAAATTGAATTGATAGTTTTGCTAGAGGAGATTTATCATTACAATGATTTAAGAATTAGTTTTAGTTTGCTTGGCCGCAAGTAAAATGTAATAACATTTAATAAAATTATAACACACTAGTGAGTTTTTTTATGAACACCGTATACCACGTATTTTTCACGGTGGTAGGGCCACGCAGCAGCCTCGGCTGTTGCACGAATGGGCAGGCCCGCCCGGGTAAGTGCCACGACCTCACAGAAGACCAGCGTAAAGTGGAAGTATGACAAATACTTTCGCGTCTCGTCTGGTGAGTGAGGTAGACAGAGCCCAATTTTCAAAAGGTTGTCAATGCATCTGTAAACCTCCGGTGTAGCAGATGTCCATGGGCGGCGGTATTCACTTAACATCAGGTGACCCTCGTTTGACAACTTTTCATATAAAAAAAAAACCATAACTTACTTTGTTGGTATTTACATGAAATGAAAAGATTTGTTCTATAAGTAATTGATTAATTAAAGAAATGGTTATTAATATATTATTATTAATATTTACTACATTATTTGTTGTGGTCGGCGAAAAGTTACCTACCCTCCGCCATGCTATAAGTAGTATTGTTGCATACAAGTGATCCACATCAAATGGACTTAAGTTGGCACTCACCGACGAGACCAAAGTGATAAGGAATACAAGAGAGAAAAGAGATAATTCCCAGGCTTTTTGGACGGTCAAAAAAAGCGAAAATCATCGTGTGAAAATGGGTCGTAAATAGACAATACAATACGCATAAATTGTAGGACTTTAGAATTACACTATTTTGTTTGAAGTTCAATTAATTTTCAAAGCATATCCCGTAACTAATCTGAACCAAAACTATCTTTTTGACAACTTTCTTTAACGTTGCATTATTCGAAGTATTGTGACAAACACTACTCTATGTAACATAATATAGGAAGGATTCTTCACACACTTGTCAGTCGAGCCGTCAAGAATCACTGTTCATTTTTCTCAAAGACAGAAATGGACTGGTATTGTTGTAAAAAAAGGTATCTGTATTGATTAATCCAGGCTCTGATAAGTGATAAGTAAGCTTGTATAATTTGCTTAACTTGAGATAAGTGATCACGAAAAAGTTTCGAGGCATTGTGGATCTGTTCCTGCCGCTGAACACCGCCATCGTCTCCGCCATCGTTCATAGCGACTAAATGAAAAATATTATCGACCATCTTGATGGTTAGCTGTTGAAGATCGGCTCCTTTATACAGCGTGTCGTTACCAACGCGACAATAAATGAACACACATATAGAGGATAAATTTTTAAAATTGTATTAAACATTTACATTCTTCAAACATCGATATTTACAGAGTTATTAAATTTTCCAAAACAAACAATTTTAGAACACCCTTACGTATAAAACTGTAACGTTAAGTTCATTTGTAAAGGTCACAAAGCATATGAATGGGTTGAATGAATTTAAAAGAGACAAAACATACTGTTAGAAGGAGAGGCTTGTAATGCGATGCTGTGGCGCGAGTTGTATAGGATGTTACAAATTTTGTTTCTTTTTTACTTAATTAGTTTGTTTGAAAAATATTTTTTTTTAATTATGGATTTTGTTTAACGTTAATATTTTTTTATGATTATTGGCAAGTAGTGTTAGACGTGTATTCATTTATTGTCGCCATGGTAACGACACGCTGTATAATTGTTTATTACCAGTTTATTCCGCTCTTTGGGGCCTTCATAGAACACTTAATATTTTTTAAATGTAAAGAACAGTAAATTAGCAGCCTATATATGTATATATAGCCTACAAAAGCCTCCTCTGAATAGGGTATTAGGGCATAGTCCACGACGCAACCCCACTGCGGATTGGCGTACTTCACATATGTATGAAATATTTATTTTGTTATTATTTCGAAAATATGCCAGTTTCTTTACGATGTTTTGCATTTTTTTCGATGTTCTTTACCACTGAGCACGTGATAATGTTAAAATTAACAATTTCATTATTGCCGGCACAAGGATTTGAGCTCAGGTTGCTCGAGTATAATAAATTAAGCATGTCCAGGTGACTGAGTAATTACGGCTCATGCCAGCAACGTATTTGCAACTACTTTAGAGTCGTCATCACGGGCGACGGTGATCACTTAACATTATGTGAGTCTTGCTCCTTTTGCTAACACAAACTTAGTGCCTTGTGTGTTATTATATTTTACTAGCTGTGCCCGCGACTTCGTCCGCGTGATGACATTTTTACAAATTGCATGCCACATTTATTTATATTTAATCAACAGCCTAAAATATTAGTTTTATGCTTCTTGTTCTAAAAATGACTTTTGTACAACATTCACCTTTTCAACTCCTTACTACACTTTTTCAAATTAAAAAATAGCCTATCTCCTTTCTCATGCTCTAGACTCTAGACTATCTGTATACCAAATTTCATTTAAATCGGTTCAGTCGTTTTGGCTTGAAAGCGAGACCGAAAGACAGACAGAGTTACTTCCGCATTTATAATATTAAGTACGGATTATGGGCAGTCAAAGCGATTTCGCCCTACTATACCTATGTTCATTTATTTTTTTATTTGAACTTCATTGTTACACCTTAGATGTACAATGTACGGTCTACAATCGGGGGACTTAATGTTCATGGCATTCTTTATCAGCCAACCCTTGTCATCTCGATGGAAATTTCATAAGATGAAAATTATTATCCAGCCGAAGGTTCAGTTTTGTTTTCCGCCAAAAAATATATAGTTTCGGTTTTGAGCCAAACTTTCGACGAAAGTTTAACAGCGCCGATACTCGCTCTCTGTAAATATTCAATAATTATCATAAGTAGTTGATTTCTTGTTGAGTTTGTGTTTGAGGAAGATATTTATTGTATAAAGTAAGTATAAGTTAAATTTTGTGATTTCTTCGGACCACACAAAGTGCATTCCGTTGGCGTCCGGTGTGTTCTATAAGTGCTTCCTTCCATCGTACTGCAGATGGCCACTGAGAGGGTTTTAGTAGCTAAACTAGAAATCACTTCATCCCCAGGAGACAGTATTATTTAAAGATTTTCCTCCGCGATACGGCCCCTTTTTAGGCCAAATTTCGAGCCATGTAAAACATTCTAAAATGTGGACGTTTAAAGGCCGAATTTTAACCGATTAAGAACCTTTTATACTCTACACTAACAATTTAAAGCTAAATTAAATACATATATTATAAAAAAAACTATCAATACAGGACGATGACATTATAGAAGACAAAATTAATCAGAGATCTAGAGAAAGCTCTTAGTCGTAACAATATTATTAGAACCCCACGAGACTTATGGGGACTTATTATCCACCAAAACCTCGGTAAGCACCTTCAGCCCGTTCGTAAGCCCTCACAGCGTTACAACATCACTAAACCATTTTGTCTTGCTATCCAAAGCGGGTCAACTAAAGTGGTGACCATTATGACTCTATCGATCGGTATATTTTGGCTCTCATGGCTCTGGTTACATGTACATGTTGAATAAAAAATGTGTCCTAAATTATTTATTTGTTGTTGAAACTTTGGATCCGTGGGGTCTCCGTACATCGAAAATACTGAAAGGTTTACGTCCTAGACTTAACTTAGTTATTTCTTTTCTCTTTCAGAAGTTAAGCAAACTATTCAGCAAGGAGATGCAGCTAGCGTTCTTGGCACCATGCCGCGTGGACTATGTTTATTAGATAATATGTAATTTAGATAGATTTAATGCTGTAAATGTTGGATAAATAAATTGTAGGTATTATACAGGACGGCTTTTTTAAGTGTATCCATTTTTTTTATTAAATTCTAGACATAAATAATGTTATATAAAAATGATAAATATTTAAAATCACTCGTAAGTAATTAAATACATTCATTTGAAGTTATCTCAAAAAGTGCGTGAATTATGGGTAACTCGTTTATTTTACGCGCACACAAGTTCTTGCACAGTAAAATTTATGAATTTATGAATGACTACCGCATTGTCAAAACGTTCTGTTTTTTATGGCATTCTTTTTTGGAAAAAAAAGTTTGTTTTTTATTTCAATAAACCCGAAACCTCATAACCCGAAGCAAAACGAAAAATATAAATCCCCCGAAAATGTAAATCGCAGTATTCGGTATACTTCAAAAATAATCAGTTAAATCATATCAACAAAATAAAATCCTTTATTTTTTGTCCTGGCAATTCCATGATTTATCCGAACCAGGGGCTGTAACACGATTTACCTTTATTATTTGATTTACCCCTTCAATTTATGCCCGTAAAAAAATAGAAATCGAAATTTTCTAGTTGAGAGACATTATATTTGCCGCCATTCTGAGAAAATAAAATAAAATGGCGAATGTATTTATTACATTGGATTTCGTAACTTTCTCTTACTATTATAAGAAGTAAGTCTTTGTATCGTAGCGTCGTAATTAAATTAAATGTGTTCAATATATCAATTTTTTGAATACAATCTCGGGTGCCTAAAGCCTAAACCAGTACAGGGGAGTATCGAAAATGCTTGAAGTGGCTAATTTAGACACAAACCAAACCGAGAAAAATAAAGTAAGTTCCATATCATATTTGGAGATGTGTTTATTAAACTGTGTTGT